CGAGTTCGAGTTCACCACCGATGAGGAGAAGCAACACTACCAGCAAAAGATCGACTCATTGGCTAATATCGTCAAAATGCTTGAACTCAAGGCCAAGAACTCGGCCGACCATTGTTTGTCTTATTTTCTTTTTTTATTGATGTCTTTTTTGAATGGATTAATGATTTGTTTGTTTGTCTCTTAAAACAGCGTTTCGTTTGGAAGAGAAGGAAACAGAGATGAAGAAGGAGTACAACAAACTCCACGACCGATACAACGAAGTGCTCCGAAGTCACTGCGAACTCATGGAAAGGGTTAAGATATTGATCGGAACCGATGAGGGCATGTCATCTCTACCACCAAATAGTTTACCAAATTTTAGCCTAAAATCGCAATTAAATAAACGAAACGATTTGGAGGGCAGCGGAGAAGAGAGCAATTATAGCGAACATATGAGACGCGACTCCAGTAGTCCCACTCCACGACAGGCCTGGGCTGACACTGAGATGTCACTCGACGACAATCCGCCGTCGATTATAGAAGACATGGACGATATGCGCGATCGGGACAAAGACCGCGACTATCAGAGTTTGACTGGTATTTTGTCATTTGATTTTCTCTCTATGAATCTCTTTCTGTTTCTGTGTTTTACTCTTCAATACTTTAAATCCATTAAAAATGCTTCAATAAAAAGGACAATACGTTCATCCGAGTGAATACGCGTCCACCGGTATGACTGTCTTAGTCCTGACCCACACTTTCATTTCCGTTTAATTGCTTTTGAATGCATTTTTCATTGTAATGTGAATTAATGTCAATTTTGTTTTATTTCTATGTTTACGCCAATCAGTAACCGATAATTTCTTTGGTAAGTCTTAATCTACAAACGATTTGTATAAACAATATTTTATTAACAGTTTTATTGGTTTCACAGGAATGGAGAAAGAGATCGAGAATTTGATTACAGAAAACAATGAATTATTGGCGACAAAGAATGCCTTAAATATAGTTAAAGACGATTTGATTGCAAAAGTGGATGAATTGCAGAGCGAACTGCAGATGTGTATGAATGAAATACAACAAAGAGATGCCGTCAAAGAGAGACTCAAAGGTCGCATCCAAGCCATCGAAGAAGAGCTCAAGAAATGCAAAG